ATAATATGTACAGTGTAAATATCAATTTATGAATAGGAAATTATTATTTAATACCAATTTTTACACACTTGATAACAAAATTATTCATATCCCGAACACAAATTTGAGGTTTTGCACTTTTTAAAAAGGAATAAATGAGTTGGGAAATTTTGGGCTTTCCTCAATGCCACAAATCAAAATCAAGCTCTTAAATAAGATATTTTTGCTTCACACCCTATAAGTATAAAAGCAATGATTGACAAGGACATGAATATTTTTGTTGTCAAGTGCAGTTATATTATTTACATATTGTTTTAAAAATAATTTAAATATTTTTCAAATGTACAAATGTTAATTAATTGTAATTATTCCACATCAAAATTGTTTGTTTGAAAATATTCCTGAAGAGTCGGTGGGGCAAGACCAAAAAAATATGTAGTCGTGGAACCATGTAAACATGTAAGGGCATTTCTCAGCAAGGCACACACTACATAAATCTTTCCAACATGACTTAAACCAATCTTCAGATTATGTTTGAAATTCAGGAGTGCGAAGTAAGATGTAATATCCCCAAAAACCCATTCGACAGCAACCCGAACAGAACTCATAGACCTATTAAATTCCTGCTCCTCATTACCTAAATTGCCATGTCGGTATGGTGACTGAAGGTGTCTTCTCAGAGGGTATGCAGGATCACCGTATATGCATAATGGTTCACCTGTTTCTGTGTTGCAGTGTTCCTCAAGTGACTGCAACAAGCCAGACATCCTTAGCATGGCTGCATCATGCCTTTTCCCTTCTACATAAACAAAATGTCCAGTGGTAACATAGAGAACTTAATTAAAGGGGGTTAATCCATCCCCATATTAATTTAAACAAGTGCCACAGTGGTTACATGAAAGCTGATTGAAGAAGCTCTTCATGAGCCTGTAACCCTGGTATTTATATAAAATATATAGTCCTGCAAAGTATATACACAAATGTATATACACACATGTTTGTTTACCTAATTATAATTTGTTATACTGCAAAACAGAAACATATACCCACCTACTGGCCCGTAAAGGTTAGCAATAAGTCCATTTGGAGCAACTACGGATTGAAATTTAATTGCATGGACTCGTTTGTGGCCGTTATAAACGTGTCGCTGGTGCTGACAAGGGCGAGCGATTGCTCTGACGGTGCCATCAACGAAACCCCAACAGTTGGGTAATGCTGCTCCGTGCTGATGAATAGCATCTGCGAATTCTTCCAGACATTGAGGTGCAAGCCACGGCTGATTCAATGTTCTCAACAAATATCCGTGTGTTTGGTAGATAAAATCAACAACCTCAGACGTTATTAGACTTAACTCTGGTACTGATCTTCCAAACCGATGTACAATATCACCAAATCTACATGGGTATGCAAAACGTCGCAATAGGATGCATAAACTTTCAATTCCAGAAGCCACCGTGCCATTAGAGCAGCGAAATTGTTCGGGAATCATCAATGCTTCGGCTAAGGCGTCCAATTCTGATTTGTTAACTCTGAACTCGGCTAGGCACTCGTCGTCATTCATTTGCTGTAGCTGGACATTGATGTTATCGTATTGCCAGTACGGAAATTCCGGCGAGGTTCGCTTGGTTGCTTCGTGTATGACAAGAAATTCTTGTGCGGATATATACTTTTGCGTAAATAAAAATGCAGCTGCTTCTAAAAGCGTTTTATTGCAATACATGTCGATGTTGTTAAAATGGATCCAACTAAAAATACGACTACCAGCACAAAAAAATCACGAATGCAGTACTCGTACTCGTAGTTGCAGCCATCTTAACAACTACGCGCTTGACAACGACTACGGCTACGAAGTTTATAGCACCCAGTCTTTTCGCAGTCGTTCACGTAGCGGTAGCGGGAGTCGTAGTCAAATCTAAAGCTCTCTAATTTCTGACTTACAACGGCAACGTGCTAAATATTTTCAACATGGCTGGCTGGCGAAGTTGAAAAATTTCAATCATTTGACCTTTAAAATTATTTTTCGGACGAAAATGACGGTATATCGGTAGATTCATCGGGAAAAAACAAGCCAATATCCGATCGGATTTCATACTTTCTTTCGGAAACAAAGAAAAGTCAATCTATTACGGTGCATAGAACACCTGGCAGCCGACATTGGCATGGAAAGTAAAATTATGAATGAAAATGATTTCAAGAAATAATAGTTGAAGTCTTCTGTGTATATGATGAACTGGGTAAAGTTGGCGAATTCTACAATGGAGTGGTCAGTGGTGAGAGAAAACTATGAGCCAGAAAGCCTAATTAAATAATGGTAAAGTGCAAAAATGAAATCGAATTTTAGTGGTATTTTTGGTGTTTTTCATTTGTACAGTTTCCCCATTAGTATTAAGAGTGTGAGTTCTTATAGCTTATATGTGTGGTTTTAAGTAATGTTGATCGATCATTCCACTTGACATTGAAAATACTTTAAAAGAAAATCCAAATATGTCATAAATGTCATACCACTGGTCAGTGGTCAATTTGGTCACATAAATATTGTACTGTAAATACACCAAGCAATGTTAAGCCTATAGAAGAACAGGCGTATACATGGGTATTTGACATTTTCATTGTTTTGGGTGTCAATATGTCCCACTATGGACCAAATTGTGGTAGCATTAATACACTTCATTAATGCATTGTTGTGACTTTTACCAAGCCCACAGAAATAATTTTTCAAATCTTTTTCACATGAGATTTCACATGACGTAAGAGTGAGTCTGAGTGTTTAACTCCCTCTGAAAAGGCCTTTCAATAGACTACTATAACAACTTCAGAAACACTATTTTTTATTTATTTAATAATTTACCCCCTTGTTAATGATGGTATCTGTCCATAGCTCAGCCAGGGGAGTTTAGGTATTGAACATAATAGCCCAATGCTATCGAACTATATATCAAACAACTGGTGCCAAAAAGGGTGTACCTGCACAAATTAAACTGGTATTCTCACAATATGTTGAGATTTCTACTTTATATGCGTTGCTGTATGATTTATCCAGATTCAAGTTATGAAGATAGACTGATAGCAATATTTAATCAATCAACTAAGCTGAGTAAGATGCATAGTGAAGATGATGGTTCAAAGTAGATAAACTATAATAACAGTAGATTTATCTTTTATGGGTATTTCTACGATGAGATTACTATTATAAACATAAAATGATATAATAATTAGTTGCATATTTTTTAACTCGATACAATTCAAATCTATGCCAAAATGTAGAATGCAAAATACTTCTCAATCTCGAGTATTTCTCAACGATACTATTCAAAAGGAATTCCACATTACAAGACACAAATTTACAAACAAATGTTAATAATTTCTTTTCTATTAAAAAGAAGCTCTCGTTTATCCTTTTGTAAATCCTTACGGCCTTACCCCAATTGTGCGAACACGGGCATTAAATATTCGGCTTTGTCGTTGAAGTTCAGCATTTCGCCTTCTTTGAATTGCAGCAGTTTCTTTCATATCCACAGGTAAATCAAGTTTATACATTTTGAGAATTTTAAACTTAAAACTTGGACAATAATCGAAGTAGTGAAACCATTAGTCGTTGCTATGAAAATGTTTTAACTAGTTGTCATGGTTACTTGGATAACGTGTAAAATACACTGAGCTATATAATAATTCTGAATTATAGTATAGCATAGCTCAGTGGGAAAAGGGTAAAATAAAGCCCTGGTCAAACGAGAATGATAGTTGATGAGAGTTGATGAGAGTGCAACTCTCGCTTGCGTTTGACCACGAACTCTCATACACTCTCGTGCACTCTCATCAACTCTCATCGACTTTGAACTGGTTCAAATTTGGATGAGAGTTGGGGCACGTTCGATCGGTCATGAGAGTTGGGGCACGTTCGATCGGTCATGAGAGTTGATGAGAGTTGCAAAACCGCCAGCGGTTTGCATTTTTTTTTGCAAAAAAAAAAATTTTCTGAAAACAACGGGCAGAAACAAAAAAATAGCAAAACGAAGTGGAGTGATGACGAAATTAATGCGCGCGCCGTAATCAACTCTCGTTCTCAACTCTCATCAACTCTCATTCTCGTTTGACCGTCGCATCCAGAGTTTGGAAAACTCTCGTGCGAACTCTCGCTTCTCAACTCTCATCAACTATCATTCTCGTTTGACCAGGGCTTAAGGAAAATGATAAATCGTTCCCAGTCTCCAGTATCGGATTATCTCGTACCTCCAGATTGTCGTACCTCGCACAAAAAGTACAATAGAATGTATCACGTGTGACGTGCATGTTGCAACCAACGCGATTTTTTCAAAAATATGCCAGGATTATACTGCCCTTCATAACTACGTATACGTCAGCGGGGCAGAAGTACATTCGTGCGCGAAACATGGAGAGTACAAGTCCGATTTAAAGAACATCCAGTAACTAACTGACTAGACAAACAGTCTTTTTTAAGTGACTGAATACCTTGCGATGAATATTATATTAAGAATAACTAGTGTGAGCGCATCGGAAGGAAAACGGAGATTGAAGCTAGCAAATTGTTTCATTGAGATACAAGGCTAATTTAGTATTAGTTCAAAATAGTTCCTTGCATTAATACTAAATTATAATCTCTTGCATACCACAATCGCGGAGCTATCTGATTAAAATTAATTTTGGTGGTTGGTTCGATCATTCGAGACCGCGTTATTTTGAATATTCTATAGGTTCCATTACTTCCATAGGTTCCATGAAGAGAAAAAAGTATAAAAATATGTTAGACGAGTTTTGAATGAACAATTCGCATAGAAAGCCCTAAGAACCTATTCATCCATTTAATAATAGCATTATCGTCAAGCTCTAAACGCTTTGATTAAGACTATAAATATAGACCTAGCTTCTAAGTATTTTTTCCTCATTGTTCGGATGAGATTATACTAACGTAATATAAATCGTGTTATTTACAGCAGCTTAATCAAACAACTTCCCTTTCGAATTTTCTAGATTTCCGTTTGAATTTGCCACAAGAAGTTGGCTTTTCCCTGCTGTCTGACAATAGTTTCAACATCTTCCAAATATGGAAAGTTATACCTTATACGGAAAGTTTCTCGATATTTCTATTGACACAAAATCGTACCCACATAAAGAAATTTATGTAAGTTTCAGCATTAAACCGAGAGAAGCAGTCACACTGATAGCAACAGTGTAAATATTTATATCTGTATAGATTAGTTTGGAATATACCTCTAAATTATGGCTATTGACTATTATAAGGTGCTTAATATTTCACGGCAAGCATCTGTCGAAGAAATCAAGAAGACGTATCGTAAATTGGCATTGAAATATCATCCTGATAGAAACAGCCATCCTGGAGCAGCAATTAAATTTAACGAAATAACCGAAGCATACCTTGTGCTAAGCAATGAGTTCAGAAGACAAGAGTTTGATCGTTCCGCAATGAATTATAGTACAGCCTTTTCCTTTTCATCGAACATCGACAACGATATGGCTAAAAATATATTCACTGAAGTTTTTGCCAAGGCCTGTCATAGAAAGACCGACCTTATTGATGATCTTATAGACTTGAGAATGAAGGTTGGAAAGCGAAAAGCTAGCACCGAAGATTCAGCCTCTAAATCAGCGTTGCCGCTCAAGCGTCAAAGAATAAAAGATCCTCCCATTTATAAAAACATGCACCTTACTTTGGAAGAAATTAAATCGGGATGTACAAAAAAAATGAAAATTACTAAATTAGTGCTAAACCATGATCAAATTACATCAAGAAAAGTAGAAAAGATTTTAGAAATTGATGTAAAACCTGGGTCGAAAGAGGGAACCACGATTACGTTTCCAGAAGAAGGAGACGAGAGAAAAGGAGTGATACCAGCAGATATTGTGTTCATCCTAAAAGATCGCCGCACGAGTTTTACCAGCGAGATTTAGACAATAATCTCATATATACAATCAAGATAAATTTACGCCAGGCTTTAATAGGAGATACGACCTATGAAATACCTACTTTATCGGGGGGAAGAAAGCTTCATTTCTGTTCTGGGGGAAGAGTTATCAAACCAAAGTTCACCAAAACGTTTCAAGGAGAAGGATTACCACGTCCTGAACACGGTGGAGTTGGCGACCTCTTTTTAACATTTGATATCACCTTTCCAGATAGATTTAATTCTGAAGAGAAAGATGTTTTAAAAACAGTTTTATCCTAACTCCGCGCTGGGTAAATGTACCTTGTCTGTATAGTGTTTGAATTTTGATGACATTTTATAACGAACGTGACACATCCCATTGTTTAACTTATAGAGCTGATAACCCCAGTATACTCTTATTTATATTAATTAACTATTCTCATATACACTAGCTGTCTGAAAATAATTGGTATATACTGGGTGTATATAAAAAAACGAAACCACTAAATCTTCACGATAACAAAGGTCGAACATTCATGAATATTTAAGCGTTGCGTTTTTTTTAGTTTCACCCAGTACATGAGTAATGGAGGGAAGATTGTTGAACGGTTAAAATTGTTTCCGGTTTCATTCAACTGAGAACTAAATTGTGAATTTGAGTCAGCGATGATGATCAGTCGGAATGACAAAGCCAATATAAGTTCATATTTGACCGCACCTGTTGCTGCATTTCTGCATTTTAACAACCGAATAACTTGTTTGTATGTTTGTCACTCAGTCTCCGCCCAATTTTGAACTAGAAGTCTAGAACACCGCTAAGTGAATATTGGAATGACTGATATTCCAGCGTTTCTATTATGCATTATATTGATAAAATTCTTTGATTTTGTATTAATAATTTCAACTGATAATACTTGTTAGACCTAAACTATACGGTTTCTTTTCATCAGTATACAAATCCGAACCAAAAATTCGATTACCTGATGTCGATGTTTTAAATTCACGTTGTTATTTTGATTTATGTGTTATAACAACAGCTAAAGCTTGGTCAAAATACTGAGTGGATACCATAGTATAATTTTCGTTTTCGGTTGAGTAAATATACTATACTTGCCGGAAATGCTTTTTCAATGATGAGTTTCGATACAATGTCAATAGCGTGATTTTGATTAATATCGATTCATTATACTCAACGCTATAACTCTGAAGTTACAACTAGGTTTTTACAGTTGTTCAAACAGATTTTTTTCTAGAACATTTCATAACATCTGCAAGATGTTATTTGCCAACGCAACCACATTATTAAATTAGGACACAATGAGAGATGAACCCTCAAAAAGGTATGCATGCGAATTTTCCGGAAACTCGCACTCTGGAGACTGATAGTTTGCCCAGCACCGTACGTATGTGGTATGTATAGCAATCCTTAAGAAATAGAAAACATTTTCCGTGTTTCTATGTATACAGCCTAGAACACGCGTTGGAGTTTGGGAGAACGAGAAATAATTAGTCCAGTGTGCGCATGCAAACTATACGTTGGCCTATACAATGCCAATGACCGACACAAAAGTCACAAAACTGTTTTCTACTTCGGACCACAGTTTAACCGAATCGATTTTCTGAGTTAACTAGGATTTAAATTGCAGACAAACAGTGTGGAATTTGCATGGTATACCTACGAAACAAAATGAAGGACCATGCAGTGCCATAGAATTTACTAACTGTACTTTGTACTTTGAGGAAATAAAAAATAAACACCAAAAGACCAAGTGGTTTTAGTCTTATTATTATCTTTAGTACTTTTTATGAGTATATGAAAAGTCGCACATTCACTTTATAAATACCCGGATAAGATTGGGTACCGCGGTTTATCCGTGCGCGCCAATAAATTCAGTGACTAGGGAGATTTAGCATGAATACGTTAACGTCGAAGACGACGCGTAAATGGCGTGGCATGTCCATATTTGGGCGCATCACGCCATTTATTCGCCATTTTCATGTCAAAACGTTCTCGTGCTAAATCGCCCTAGTGTAATGAAAACGAGGCGGTTCATAATGAATATACCGCATGCATTTGTTTTGTAGTATATTACTTTCTTTATAGTTGTTGTTTGCCGTGTTAACACGCGACTCGGTACAACAAAATAAGTTTTATAGAACATCTTGGCCCAGTTTTCATCCAATGACTTGTAATGTTATATTAATATACATTCACAACACACCTTGTCCTTGGCAATATATTACAAGTGTGTAAATAATTAATACAGTCCAACTATATAGCGTAACTTTGTTCACACTATAGACAAGTAAATCTTTTCTGAGGAAGCAATGAAGTATGCAGTCGGTCAGTATAAATGCGGTTGGTTAGTGAAAAAATTTCCCTGAAAAAGAATAGTTAGCATCAATTTCTGCATGCGCCGTATTTTTTGACGATCTTTTACTTATAAATAATGGCTTTTCGCACCAGTTTCTGTAGCCTTACGATGAAACTGACAAAATCTATATAGCTAGTGAAGCCTGAAGGACGATCTAAAAATACATCTATATAAGGTTCATATATCTAGATACAGATATGCATGTTCCTAACTATATGAACTATTCAGTGCAATTTCCATGCTTCGCGGATTCTCAAAATGTTTGGTAGTATAAATCATTAGTTTTACGGATTATTAGTTTTTTCTTGCCAGCGTGAACCATTTAAGACCTGCCATTTACCGCTACTTCATGTTGACAGTGAATTATGAATTCCAATTTTTGACCAATCATATGGTCGGTGCTGTTCAATTAATGCCTATAATTACAGCAGGTGGAAAATGTTTTATTCCAATCGTTTTTTTGCTTTACAAGAGCAATATACATTCTGAGCTAGTGTTAAACTTTTGGAATTCATCCGCCTTGTGCCTCTTGTTTCTAACATGACAAGTCACATTGGTTTGCTGCTGATTTCGTTAATTCTTGTATCTAAAGGAATTGACTTTGCCTGTAAGTAAAATCATAAATTTAGTGCGGCAACGAAAACCTTCGTTGGTTGCCATGGCGCATTTTGTGTAGACACGTTCTACTTTTGCCATCCTTTGATGTTTTACTCCCGACTCGATTTCTTTTTCTGTAATATATTCTGATTATCAAAAAACTAAAACGAATTGAAACGTTTCTCCGGAGTCCGCATCGGAGAACTAAAATATATGCTATATATTTAGAAAATTTTGCAATGCCCGAGCGACGTCCGACTGAGCTGATATCTCGGACTCATCGTAAAAATTATTACGTATAGCAAAAAGTCAAACTTATATATTTATCTATAAATATGTTCATGTCAAATGAAATGATACCTACTTGAATATAAATGTTCAAGATATGAATTCTCACTTTATGATTATTATCACGTACTGAGAATATAGTACTACTCATATATATATACATATAGCTACTAGCAGATGTCGTATATAAATATTAGGTTTTCGGTTAAGCAGCATTTTAGCCAGCGCTCTCCGATATATAGGATTGATAAAGTTTTTGCACTTTGCGTATTCGAACATAAATTAAATGTTGATGTATGGTGTTTCGGGAGAATGAAGCTAAAACATTTATATGATTATTAAGACCAAAACCGGCAACACGGCGAAAACACAACTTGGCCTTGGCCTCGCGTCCTCCGACAGGCCGGGAATCGAACCATATATATGCCTCTACGATATCTCGGAGCAGTTCTTTTACCACTATAAGTAAACGGAACGTTACTTTGTTGGATTGTGAAAATTCGATCACGTCATTTGTATTCAAATAGTTCCTCGATATTTAGTGCGCAGCTGTAAATACACGATTGAAAGGTGCCATCTTAAAACAACTTCACATTTTGGATGTATAACAACTGCATGAACTGAGCAAAAACAATTCTAGAAGAAAATTCAACTAATCAGAGTGACATCCGTTTTAACGTCACACCTTAATTATTAGGTTTTTCTCCGTCCCGCTACCCTTCCTCGATTAAGTTATGTTTCTTTTCGCTTCACTTTAAGCGGCCGAGATGAGAAATCATTTTCGGATATTCAAAATTTCTGAATTTCACTTATCAAGCAACAACCTTCCCCCCCCAACTTTCGACGCGCACAGGAGTACAACATGTTGAAAATTATATGTTGGAAGAGTTTGGATGTGACCTGAAATTGTCCGTTTCGGTTTTCGGTTCAAACGAGAGTACGGCCTGCGCGAGATAACCGGGGCTTTTGCTATACAATAACTTAACAATGTGTGGCATTGAAGACGTAGTATATGTAATCGTATATAATGTAAACTTAGTTAATAGAGTGCTGTTTGAAAAGAACGGTTGGAAAGCAAATAATTTATAGAGTGCTATTGAAAAGAAGGGTTGGAAAGCAAAGAAAAACATTCTTGTGACAAAGTTAATTGATGAGATATTTTAACGTGAGGGATTTTATTGTTGTTTTTCAATTTGCCTCGCGTCAGTCGCGAGGTTAATGCAGGAAGAAATATATATATATACCCATGCATGCATGCATATACTCATGCAGTGGCACAGGTGGGAAACGTGACGTGCCAACTTTTTATAATGCAAAGCGAACGGCATGCAATTATCTCGCTGCCAGACATAGGAGTCTTTTAGCACATCATGTCAACATCATAAATATTTTATTTCCTCGACAAATTAGTTCTCATGATTGACGTATAAACCAGAATTATTACAGAGAAGATATAGCTATAGAGATTACAAAATGTATATTTTAAATGATCGTAAACTGTAGGCTATGAACAAAGAAAGAAGTGGGTCAATTTTTAGTTTCAGTAAATAAACTATAACATAGCGTGGTGCCATTTTTCACAAACCTTTTTATATTGAGTTTTAAGTTGAGTTTTCATAGTTCATACTTGTTTATCTTGAGTTTTAAGTTGTACTCGACAGTCCAGCCTCCAAAAAAGTTTATCTCGCTACTCCTTCTCGGCTCCTCCACACTAGTACTTGTATTTCGATACATGAAAACATTACTACTAAATTGGATACAGCAG